TCTCTCTCTCTCTCTCTCTCTCTCTCTCTCTAAGGTCTCACATAGTCCAGGGTGGCCTCAAACTTGCTATGTAGCTGAGAATGACCTTGAATTCCTGATGATTCTTCTGCTTCTACCTTCCAAGCCTTGGGATAACAGGCACATGCTAACATAACCAGTTTATATATGCTGGGGATGGAGCCCAGGGCTTCATGCATGCTAGGCAGATCCTCTACCGACTGAGCTACATCTACACTCCCCTGCCCTTCTCCTTTATTATGAACCACTTTGTTAGCTACAGCTCCTTCTAAGCCTGAAATTGATCTTTGGAGGAAGATATCCCTTCAGTTCCTGGGAATCTCAGAATTTTCTAGTCAGGAGGTGCTGATTGCTTTAGTCGGTGTGGGAAGACCCTTGAGTTTTGAGCATCAGCATCCTGGTCTAGACTGTACAGTTAGAGGGTCGGGTGAGCTGAGTACTAGCATGCATGCATTCTGCCTGCTCCCAGTTATGTCATTCCTGCCTTGACTTCTCTACAATGATGAACTGTATCCTGAAAGACTGAGTTGAAATCAACCCTTTCTCTCCTAAGTTGCTCTTGTTGGTCAATGGGAAATGAAATTAGGACATCCCATAGGGAGGTGGGAGCCTGGTAGAGCTGTGCAAAGAGAGGCAGGTACCACTTGGTGCTATTGATGACACACAGAAGTGTTAGGTGGCCTAGAGAGCAGAGATAACCCTCACAGCTCCATGATGAAGCAGCAACAAAGCCCAGCTAGAGGATATGATGGGGGAACAAAAGTTTCAGCTAGAACCCCAACTCCTCAGGTGATGGCAAAGATCTCTGGTAAGGCTGGGTATTTAGTGGGTTCTATAGGTACCCTGAATTGGGTTTCAAAAAAGCAGACAGGAATGGATGATTTGGTGGTTCACTGGGGTGGCATGAGCACAGATGGCACATGGGACGTGCTCCACATTGAGTTTGATTGCAGTGATGAAGCTCCCTGACAACAAGGAACAAAGGAGAGGAAGCATTTATTCAGCTCACAATTCCAGGTCATCCATCATTGAAGGGATGTCAGAAAAGCAGGCACTAGAGACAGTAGACCACATCATATCCAGAGTCCAGAGTAGAGAGAGATTAATGTACCCATTCCTAACTGCCTGCTCTTTCTACACTCAGCCAGCTTTCTTCACTCTTACACAGTTTAGGGTCCAGCCCAGGAAACAAACTGTGCTACCCACATCTGGCGTGGGTCTTCCCACCTCAGTTAACAATCAAGATAATCCCCCACAGAGACACCCATAGGCCAACCTGATTTAGGCAGTCCTCTATTCAGGAATTTCTTCCTGTTGGTGCTAGGTTGTATCAAGGTGACATTTAAAATTAACCATCACAGTCTGTGAGAATGGAGAGTGAGAAAACAAACAAACAAACAAAGGGCTGATGTAAGCCAAAGAGATGAAACTCACTGTTGGAAACCTCGGAGTTTGTGTGGAGTTGAAAGTAGCCTGAACCACAATTGAGCTAGCAAGTGCCAAGATTGCCAGCAAAGGTGTTTTTTGTTTGTTTGTTTGGTTGGTTGGTTGGTTTTGATTTTGGTTTGGTTTGGTTTGGTTTGGTTTTACAGGAATTGTTTGGATGGGACACTGGGGGGACAGGTGGGATGGGGTTGTGCAACGTTTTACCATAAGGTATTTTATCACCAGAACCTTCTAGCCCCATTTCTAAGGGAATTCTGCTTTAAGAGGTGCATTATGGGAATGTGAAGCTATTTATCCTAGTCTCACAGTGATTCTGATGAGAGTGTGGGGATCATATTTTAGAATCTCTGGATAAAATAATCAAGCCTTGGGTCTGGTTCTGAAGGTGCTGCTTCAGGTGGTGCTTCAGGACTGGTTAAAGATCAGTAGAGGGGCTGGTATAATGGCCCAGTGATTAAGAGCATTTGCTGCTCTTCCAGAGGACTTGAGCTCCAGCTCCAGTAGATCTGATGCCGTCTTCTGGCCTTTGTGTGTACCTGCACTCATGTGCACATACCCACATGGAGATACAAATACATACACATAGTTTAGAAAAAAAAAACAAATAAATCTATTAACAAATGGTAATTAGTGAAGAAGAAAGCAAGGAGGGAAGTGTTTGATTCAGCCAAACCTTAATGACCCAGGGGACCAAAGTTTCTTTCTTATTGTTTCCATTCTCTAGTCTCCATATTGTCTTGAGTTTACAAACTTCCTTTCACAGAATTCAGTGCTTTTTCTAGTGTCTTTGTTTTATTGAGTCATCCTTCATATCTACTCTTATGTAGAAACCTTATATTTAATAACCCCATGCATTTCAATGACAGTACTAAATCCTAGCTGAACACCAATTGTGTGTATGTTTAGGTAGACTCGGGGTTGCATATATCTTAAGTCTCTGAGAGAATGATGTTTTCAAACCTCTTTCAATGTCTGCTTCTTTTCATAGCTTCTTAATAGTGTTTGATTTTTTTCTTTTTGTAGCTACAGAGCTGTGCTCATGTGC